CACCCATCGCTCCCGGGCAGTGGTGGAGCAGCTGGCCGGCTGCGCTGTCGTCTCTGCAGCAGGGAGACACGCCAAACGCCTTCTTTCATTTTCTTCGCAACCAAAACCAAGGTCCCGTAACTTCCCGTGCTGCGAGTGATGATTTAATACAATAATAATAGCAATAGCTAATAACAGGTGGGTACGAGGTCACCGCGGCAGCCCCACTTTGTGCCCCAATAACAACCCCTACCTTTGCTCTAACGGCTGGCGACCTCCCCCTCCTATCCGAGCCGCCACACAACCGATGCTGCCCGGGCTCTCTTCTCTCCGCAGAGGCGCAGAAGCCAGCACCTCCCGGCCCCTCAGCGCTCTCCTGCTTTCCCCATGGAGAACGCATACTTCAAGTGCTGGGACAATTTTTCCTGGCATTTAGCTTTCATTTGCTAAGGAAACAGATTTACATTTTTAATAAACGTGAGACTAAATATAATAAAATATTAAAGACAAATACGTGTAAACTTCAGCGTTTCCCAGCTCCTTCCTCTGCCAGAGAGGAGGTGTGAGGGAAGCAACGTGAACATCATCCATCAGCCCCCAACGGCACCTTCCTTTGGCAGCTCTTGCATGTTCTTACAGCACCGAATGAGACACTCCTTATCCCCAAGCCTCTGCAAAAAGTCCCATGGGTAACGTGTGAGCTGATTTAACTCCAGCTACAGCCACACCGAACGCCGTTCCCCCAGCCTCTGAGCCCGCCCTGCCGCACCATGGTACCTCTCGCATTTTGTAAGGCTGTGTCTTCACCTACAGCACGCTGCTAGCCTGGACTTGTCAAGCTTCTGCTGCCACACGCACCTCCTGGCCGTGACCGTGAGCTCACCGTGGTTTCTAACTCCGCACTTGAACCTGCTCGGAGGCCTCGGAGGCACCTTCCCCTCCCGCACCTCTCCCGGGCTGCTGCGGTGACACGCGCTGCAGCAGCAGCCCCAGCGAACGCAGCTCCTGCCTCTGAAAACAAAATCCCCCCCAAACCAAGCACGCAAACACAGCGCAAACCAGTTCACCAGGAGGGTACCGAAAATGAAGCCTTCCCAAGAGCAGCCCGAGAGGCCTCTTCCCGCAGCCCACGAAGGGGTTTTTCAATCGGAGCACTGCGGAGAGCCTGCCCCAGCCGCCCTCGGCCGCGCTCCCAGCACAACGCCGTCCGCATCGTGCCCCTCCTGGAACAGCTTTTTAGAAATCCCTGCTTTCAGGCACAGAAATCCAAATGGAAAACACCCGCTCCAAAGAAAGGGTGAGGGTCCCCGCGCCAGAAAGCACAGAGCCCAGCTCAGATACCAACAGAAACCCAGTAAGAGATGGAGCATGAGGACCCAAGCACAGCAAGCAGACTGGCAGACGCGCAGCTCGGCAGCTGCTCTCTACAAAAACCCCCAGCTCTTGTCCCTTGCCACTCCCCGAGTGCTGCACGGCTCCCATCCCGAGGCAATTCTCCACATTTTTTCTTCTCTCCGAGCACCTGGCTCCCGAGAGCAGCAGGCGGGCGCAAACCGCCGGGGATGTGCCCGTCGCCCGGGCAGGCGCAGGCTCCGCGTCCCACGACGGGGCCAAACAGGGACCTTCT